CCTCTCTCTCTGCCCCTCCCCCGTTCATGCTCTGTCTCTCTCTGTCCCAAAAATAAAAATAAACGTTGAAAAAATAAAAAAATAACGGGAATTCCCCCTCATACTTTTTGGACCAACAGGGACCCTGTTTTCCAATTTTTTCTGTTCAGAGAGAGGTTTTCTCACAGTTTTTTTTTTCTTTCCTTTCCTTTCCTTTTCTTTTCTTTTCTTTTCTTTTCTTTTCTTTTCTTCTCTTTTCTTTTCTTTCTTTCTTTTTTTTTTCTGTTGCTAGGGCAGTGCATTTCTGTGACTGAGGAGAGAAAAAAGAAAATGGCTTTCCCCCCATAGTCTTTAGGTTACAGGATTTCCTTTTTCTGCTCCTTTGGGCAGAAAGAGGGGATTTCTTTAAGAGTTTCCTTGTCAGCACTCTCAACATAGTTCTGTAACTCAGGCCATTCTTAAGTCAAAGCCAGGAGTTAAAGGAGGAAAATAGAATTAGGAAACTCATGGCTATTCCCATCATTCTTCACATTTTAACTTTTCTCCCAGTAATTTTTATTACCTAAACTGTTTATGGAATGCTGATGTATATCCTCTGGTGAGTTAGCTACTTTCTCTGATATCTGTGTATTTAAGGAATATTAATTCTTAATTGTGTTTTCTCTGGATGTTTCAGTTTTTGTGTTTGACTCAATTTTTTTTGACATACAAAATTTTAAAATGTATTAGTCTTGGGGTACCTGGGTGACTTAGTCGGTTAAACGTCCGATTTTGGCTCAGGTCATGATCTCAGGGTTTGTGGGTTTGAGGCCCACGTCAGACTCTGTCCTGACAGCTCAGAACCTGGAGCCTGCTTCAGATTCTGTGTCTCCCTCTCTCTCTGCCCCTCACCTGCTCACACTCTTTCTCTCTCTCAAAAATAAGTAAACATTTAAAAAAATGCATTAGTCTTTTGTGAATTAAAAAAAATGCTAATAGCCTTTTCGATGTTCTTCTGTTCAGAATATGTATTATTCTAGTTGTAAAAAATGTTCTATTTTATTTTTCTCTAATTTGAAGTACAATGTAAAGTAAAATTTCTTAAAATTATAAAAACAATTACTATAAAAATTCAGATAATATGGATGTCTAGATTAGCAAGTAATGTTTTTCTTCTTCTTCCTGTTTTTTTTGTTTTGTTTTTTTTTTTCTTCTAAATTTAAATTCAAGTTAGCATACAGTGTAGTCTTGGTTTCAGGAGTAGAACCCAGTGATTCGTCTCTTACATACCCACATACTCCCCCATACCCATCCCAGGTAACCATGGATCTATTACTTTAGACTAGTTTTGCCTATTTGAGAATGTATCAGGGGAATCATCAAGTATGTATTCTTTGTTTCTGGCTTCTTTTGCTGAGTGAGCATAATGCTTTTGATGCTCATCTGTATTGATTGTTACATGTATTGTTAGTTTATTCCTTTTTATTGCTGTGAATAGTATTTCATTGTGTGAATATACCACAATTCTATTCTACATTTATTTGTTGATAGACATTTGTATTATTTGCAGTTTTGGACTGTTATGAATAAAGCTACTATGTACAAGTTTTTGTGTGCCTGTGTTTTCTTATCACTGAATAAATGACAGCTAGTACAGGAATTGCTCCTTCATATAGTAAATACTTACTTTTCTTGATATGCATCTGCTAAACAATTTTCCAAAATGGTTGTACTATTTTACACTCCCATGAGCACTGTAATGATTTCCAGTTCCTGACCTTGTACATTTATCATTTCTGATGTTTTCTAGAAGTACCTTTGGTATAGATTCCGTAGAGTGGTATTTTGTTTGAAATGGTCAGTGTATATGTTTTTGCTAGATTCTTCTCCATAAGGTTTATATTGTTTTTTTCCATTACCACTGCTAATGGATGAGTGCATACATACTTCCCTTCTACCCCACCATCAACAGGTGGTCAATTTTTGCCTTTCTGATTACAAAATGAAATCTTAGTATAGTTTTAATTTGTCTTCTTTTACTTGGAGTGATTTTGAACATATTTTCATATATTTAATGGTTGTTTCCTTATTTTTTTTTCTTCTGTGAATTACACATATCTGCTGGATTCTTTTCTATTTGCTGTTTTCAGAAACTTTTCAGATATTAAGTATATCAGATTGTTGTCTTTTTTTTTTCCTTTTTTTTTTTTAACGTTTATTTATTTATTTTGAGAGAGAAAAAACGTGAGTGGGGAGGGGCACACACTGATGGTGTGGAGCCAGACACAGGGCTTGAATCCATGAACAGTGAGATCGTGATCTGAGTCCCAAGTCTGACGCTTAACCAGCTGAGCTACGCAGGCACCTCTCCCCACTCCCGACACACACTTTTTTTTAAAAGCTCTTTACGGGGCGCCTGGGTGGCGCAGTCGGTTAAGCGTCCGACTTCAGCCAGGTCACGATCTCCCGGTCCGGGAGTTCGAGCCCCGCGTCAGGCTCTGGGCTGATGGCTCAGAGCCTGGAGCCTGTTTCCGATTCTGTGTCTCCCTCTCTCTCTGCCCCTCCCCCGTTCATGCTCTGTCTCTCTCTGTCCCAAAAAAATAAATAAACGTTGAAAAAAAAAAAAATAAAAGCTCTTTACATATTAGGGATATTAACATTTGTAAACATAAGTTTCAAACTTTTTTCCAAGTTTATCTTTTGTCTTTTTGTTGAGGTGTGTCTTTTTCCATGGCTTCTCCTCCCAAGTTGTCTTTTTATATTGTTGAATATGTATTAGTCTTTGTCATTATTGTTTTGGATTTGGAACGGTTAGGAAAGTTTCCTCAGTTCCTGATTATGGAGGAACTTAACCTGTTTCCTTCTACTACTTGTATAGTTTCATTTTTTTAAATTGTACTTATTTTACGTAATCTCTACATACACCCAGTGTAGGGCTCAAACTCACAACTCCAAGATCAAGGGTCACATGCTCTTTCAACTGAGCCAGCCAGGTGCCCCAGTTTCATTTTTTATGTTTGTATTTCCCATATGTAATTGCCATATGTTGTATTTATGTTTGTATTGCCTGTGTGTGATTCTGTTTAGTTTGAAGAACAGGTGTTATTTTATTTTTTTTTACCAAATAGTTACTGGAGTCTCCAAACATCACTTGTATATATCTGATTCCTTTTTTCCTTATTTACTTGGGATACCTCTATAGGCCAGTAATGTTTATGTAAGATATGTGATAGGGTTATAATTTTTATATATTTTTTCTGAATGTGTTCTCAGTTTTCTCTGCATTTATTTCTTTTTATAATTGTATGCTAAATTCCAAGGTACACATACATTGGTTTGTTTCTTGACTATCTTTTAGATTATTAATTTGCTTGTCCTATTTTTAGTATTCTAATGATGCCATTGTTTTGCATTCTGTTTTGATATTTGGCAGAGGAAATGTCCCTCATTATTTCTGATTTCTCTGATTTCCCTGAGGGATGCTATCCTATGAAGTATGTTATTTTCATTGTGCAGATTAGGAAAATGAGGGTACCCAAGTCCACAGTTTGTAAATAGTGTTGTCAGGATTCATGTCCAGGCGGTGGCAGTGTCATTCCAGAACCCAGAGGTTCTGAAGCCTCTCAGTTTTTAAATTTTTATTTAAAAAAGTCTATATTTTAAAAATATCTGTATTATCTATAATCTGTATATGTCAGTACTCTGGTATAAAGGAACCGATAACAGAACACCAGGGAATTACTGGTTATCTGTAATATCTACTTATCTAATGATACAGATTTGATGAAGGCCATATTTTAATGTGAATCAGATTTATGAGGGAAACAGTTGTCTGTGTGAAATTCATTACTTTCTCCCATTGTGTTTTTCTTTGGAATGTCTGTATCAGAGTTGATTAAACACTGGTAAATGGTATCTTTTCAGATTTAGGAACTACTGTACTAGTAGACCACATCTCCATCTCAGTGAAATTCTAGGCCACAGATAATTTTGTATATGCTGTCAGAAAATGATCTTGTAATTATTCTTAGTGGTTTTTGCTTTTCCTGACTTTTTTTTCTCTTATTTCTCTTCAATAGTTTATGCCAGCGTGGCTTCATTCATACAGATGAACCAGGGATTGGGATAGCAGTATAAAATTAGAATCAGAGAACTGATTGCCCAGCAGGATGCCATCAACCAACCGAGCGGGCAGTCTGAAGGACCCTGAAATTGCAGAGCTCTTCTTCAAAGAAGACCCAGAGAAGCTCTTCACAGATCTCAGAGAAATTGGCCATGGAAGCTTTGGAGCAGTATATTTTGTAAGTGTTAAAGGCTTAATGTCAGTGACCAGCATTTACTTAATATCTAGTCCTGGCAGAGTAAAAAAAAAATATATATATATATATATATAAAGAAACATAGGCAATAGTCCATTTTATAATCACTTACATAGATATATGTGTATAATATGAAAGTAGATAGTTTTATTTATTGAGCTTCTTGGATTATTAAAAAAATGGGAAACAATATTATTTTGCTTTAACTTACATGTTTAGCATTTTAGTACAGTGGTTTGAAGAGTCTAATGACTTGCATTACTACAGAATTAAATATTGCAGAAGAACTCTGATTTCTGTTAAGTCTCATACACAGTCAATTTTAGTGTTTTGGAAATCTAGGATTATTATTTGACAGAAGGATATGTACCAGTCTTTTTTTCTTGTGTGTATATGTGTGTGTGTTATGCTAAAATAATCATCAAATTTGCCATTTTAACCATTTTTAAGTGTACAATTTGTGGCGTTAATTACGTGCACAGTGTTGTGCAACCATTACCATTATCTAATTTCAAAACTTTTTCATCACCCCAAGCAGAAACTATGTATTTATTAGCAGTAACTCCTTCCCCCTCTACCCAATCTCTAATCTACTTTTTGTTTATGAATTTGCCTATTTTAGATATTTCATATAAATGGAATCATGCAATATTTGTACTTTTGTGTATAGCTTGTATCACTTAGCATAATGTATAGCGTAATCACTTTGCAGGTCAACCATGTTGTAGCATGTATCAGTACTTCATTCCTTTTTATAGATGAATAATATCCCATTGTATGTGCCATGGTTTGTCCATTCATCTGCTGATGGATACTAGATTGTGTCCATCTTCTGGCTATTGTGAATAAATGCTACGATGAACATTGGTGTACAAATAACTGTTTGAGTCAGTGTTTTCAAATTTGGGTGTGTACCTAAGAGTGAAAATACTAGATCACATGGTAATTTTATGTTTAACTTTTTGAGGACTGCCAAACTGCTCCATAGTGGCTGTACTGTTTCCATTCTCACCAGTAATTTACTGGAGTTCCAATTATTCCACATCCTCACAAATGCCTGTAATTTTTTGTTATTTTGATTATAGCCATCCTGCTAGGTGTGAAGTAGTATCTTGATGTTTTGGTTTGTATTTCTCTATTGACTAACAATGTTGAGCATCTTTTCATGTGCTTATTGGCCATTTGCATATCTTCGTTGGAGAAATGTCTATTCAAGTCCTTTGCCTCTTTTAAAATTTGGGTTGTCTCTTTGTTGTTGAGTTATAAGGGATCTTTATGTATTCTGAATATTAAGTCCTTGTCAGATACATGATTTGCAAATATTTTCTCCCATTCTGTAGTTTGTCTTTTCACTTTCTTGATGATGACATTTGATATACAAAAGTTTTAAATTTGGATGAAGTCCAATTGGTCTATTTTTTGTTATTGTTGCTTATACTTTTGGTGTCATGTCTCATTATCCATTGCCAAATCCAAGGTTGTGAATATTTACCCTTATGTTTTCTTCTGAGAGTTTTATGGTCTTAGCTCTTATATACAAGTCACCGATTCATTTTGAGTTGATTTTTGGATATGCTGTGAGGTAGAGGTCCAACTTTACTCTTTTGTGTGTGGAAATCTAGTTGTTCAGTGTTCCAGTGCCCTCTATTGAAGAGACTGTTCTTTCTCTGTTGAATTGTCTTGACATCTTTGTGAAATCAATTGATCATATTGTATAGGTTTATTTCTGAACTCTCAGTTCTGTTCCTTTTGTCTATATATCTATCTTTATGCTAGTATCATACTGTTTTGATTACTGTATTGTCGTACTAAGTTTGAGATCAGGGACAACTTTATTATTCTTTTTAAGGATCGCTTTGGCTGTTTGGGGCCCCTTGCCATTCCATATGAATCTGAGGATTAGCTTTTCCATTTCTGCTGTTGAAATTTTGTTAGGGATTGTTTAAATTTGTTGATCGTGCTTGGTAGTATTGGCATCTGACCAATATTGAGTCTTACTCCATGAATGCAGTATGTCTTTCTAAACATTTATTTAGGTCTTCTTTAATTTTGTTTAGCAATGTTTTGTAGTTTTCAGTATACAAGTGTTCTAATTCATTGCTTAAATTTAGTCATCAATATTTTATTCTTTTAGATGCTATTGTAAATGGAATTATTTTCTTAATTTCCTCTTGAATTTATTCATTGCTGGTATATAGGAACAGCTAATTTATGTGTGTTGGTTTTTACACTACAATTTTGCTAAATTTATTAGCTAGTATCTTTTATGTGGATACTGTGGACTTCTGTATATAAGATCATGTCACCTATAAACAAAGATAGTTTTACTTCTTTCCAATTTGGATGCCTTTTGTTTTTCTTATCTATTTGCTCTAATTGTAACTTTGATGGCAGTGATGAAAATGAGCATCCTTGTTCCTTATCTTAGGGAGAAACTTTTTTCAGTTTTTCATAATTGAGGATGATGTTAGCTGTGGGATTTTCATAAATGCCCTTTATCATATTGAGGAAGTTTTTTCTGTTTCTAATTTTTTGAGTGGTTTTTGTTTGTTTGTTTTGTTTTTCACGAAAGGTTGTTGAATTCTGTTATATACCTTTTGGATGTCAGTTAAGGTGATCATAATGGTTTTTCTCCTTCATTCTGTTAATGGAGTATATTGCATTACTGATTTTGTTACATTGAACCACTCTTGCATTTCTGGGATAAATCCCACTTTGTCATGGTTTATAATCATTACATCTCTATTCATAAGGGACACTGTAATGTGTGTGTGTGTATATGTGTGTGTGTGTGTGTGTGTGTGTGATTTTCTTGGTGTGGTGTTGGTATCAGGCTAATACTGGCTTCATAGAGTCAGTTAGAAAGTGTTCTTTTTTAGTTTTTGGAAGAGTTAGTGAAGAATTGGTATTAATTCTTCTTTAAATGTTCAGTAGAATTCACCAGTGAAGGCTTCTGGTTCTGGACTTTGTTTTTGATTACTTATTCAGTGTTTACTTGTTATAGGTCTGTTAATATTTTCTTTCTTTCTTTTTTTAGTGTTTTTTAAATTTATTTTGAGAGAGAGAGAAAAATAGCATGAGCAGGGGGAAGGGCAGAGAGAGAGAGGGAGAGAGAGAATCCCAGGCAGGCTCCATGCTGCCAGCACACAGCTTGTTGTGGGGCTCAAACCCATGAACCATGAGATAATAACCTGAGTCAAAATCAAAAGTCCAATGTTTAACTGAATGAGCCACCCAGGTGCCCCCATCTTTTGATGTTTTCCCTTAAGTTACTTTTATTTGTGGGTTCTAGGAATTTGTTTCATCTCGGTTGTCTAATTTATTGGTATACAGTTGAAAATAGTATGCTCATATGACCCTTTTTATTTCTGTAGGTTGTTTGTAATAGTCCTGTTCTTTTCCTGGTTTTAGTTATTTGGCTTTTCTCTCTTTTCTTTTTTATTGGTATAAGCTCAGTCTGTTTTCTCCTGAATTTTAACTATAATTCTATTTTGAGATTTTCAATAAAAGACTCTTTGTAAACTTTCCTTGTTCATAGAAAGATGTATCATATCACCTTTAACACTGAAAAAAGAAAAGTGTACAGAAACCATTACTTACAACTATTTTCCCTTCAGATAACCCACTGATATTATTTCATTTACATCTGTTCAGCCTTTCAAGAATGTACATATATCTAGGATTACTGTTACCTCAATTTAGCCAGGACTTTTCCAGTTCCAGTGGTGAAAGTCCCATGTCCTAGAAACCCCATAGCCCAGGTCAGATGAGATGATTATTCATCCTACATATATCTGTACCACATAATATTTATAACCTGAGCCACCCAGGCACCCTGCCATTTAATTTTTAAAATTAAAATGTATAGTTTGTTTCATAAAATTTTGCAGTACTGCTTATTTTTCTTATGAATAAGTGTACATGTATAACAATGGCTATATCACATTTTGTCATGTATCTATTTGATATATCATAATTCACTTTATCATTCCACATAATTAGATATTAAGGTTTTCAACCCTGCCTGGTTTTTTTGCTGTTAAAAATAATGCTGTAATGAACATCATTATGTTTCCTCTTAATGGACATGTTTGCCAGTTTGGAGGGAAAAAGAAGGAGGATAAAGCAATGTGAATAGCCTAGAAAATAAAAAGAATATTCGGAGACTATTGAAGGGATCCCTGAATTACCAATTTTTTAAAGTTTATTTATTTTGGGAGGGGAGGGGCAGAGAGAGAGGGAGAGAGAATCCTAAACAGGCACTGGGCTATCAGTGCAGAGTCGGATACAGGGCTCCTGAACCGTGAGATCGTTACCTGAGCCAAAAGCAGGAGTTGGGCACTTAACCAACTGAGCCACTCAGGTGCCCCAAATTGTCAGTTATTAAAAAACTATGACACAGGGGTGCCTGGGTAGCTCAGTTGGTTAAGCGTCTGATTTCAGCTCCTGTCATGATCTTGTGGTCAGTGAGTTTGAGCCCCGTGTTGGTCTCTGTGCTGACAGCTCAGAGCCTGGAGTCTGCTTCAGAATCTGTCTCCCT